TGCCCCTGGCTGAGCAGAGGAGAACTGCTGTCCCACAGTCCCTGGGCAGAGATCTCTGACCTGCTGCCCGTGTGGTCGTGGCCTTGTTTCATCCCCGCTGCCCCGAGGCTGTCCTGTGAACGGGGCACAGCCGGGAGTGGAAAACAGGGAATTTTTTCCCACCCCTGGGCGAGCATCAGCTGCCTCCCCAGGGGACACCAGTGGCTCCAGGAGTGGGGGGTGGCTCCATCCCAGCTGGAATTGCATCCCCGGGATGCTCTGCGCTGCTGGCTGGGTTTATTTCCACAATAACCTCTGGAGGCTGAGGAGTGATGAAGGCCCAGCGAGGGCAGCTGGGCTGTGCCAAGGGTCACGCACAGAGCCAGGATTTGGGGTGCCCGGCTGTTGCCACTCCCTGCGCTGGATTTCTGAGTGCAGAGATGGAAACACAGCTCTGGGATGGAGGATGAGCTGGTGCTGGGGTCCAGCGCTTTTAGTCTGGTTTTTTTGGCTGCTGCTTTATCCGGCTTTCACAACATTCCTCTTAATTCCTTGATGAAGTAAAGGAATCGATGTTCCAGAAATATTAAATTAGGGTTGGCTTTTTTTTCTCTCTCTTTTATTTTTTTTTCTCTTTTTATTTTTTTTTTTTTCTGATGGCATTTTTTCCCCTGACTTCACCAACATTTCCTGACTTCAGCACAGATGATCCCTGACTTCTCCAGCTTTTTTTTTTTTTCTCTTTTTATTTTTTTTTTTTCCCTTTTTGATGCCAGCTTAGTCCAGCAGCAATGATTTCCTCACTGGGGTGGGGGATAGTGCTGTTAAAAATAAAGCTTTCGATGCTCACAGCTGCTTTGTAGCAGCAGCAAGTGCTTGTTGGGACTGGGGATTTGCCATGTGCGGGGTGAGCAGAGGGTGGAGGGGCTGGGCTGTGCTGGGGATCGTGCTCAATTCCTTCATGGAAAAGGTTTTCAAGCACTGGGAGGCGTTCAAGAAACAAATGGACGTGGCACTCAGTGCTCTGGGCTGCTTGACAAGGTGGGCTTGGATCACAGGTTGGCTTTGATGATCTTGGAGGGTTTTTCCAACCTTAATAATTCCGTGATTCTGCACTGGTGACATTCGATGCCGCAGGGTTCACGTGAGCCCTCAAGGCAATGTGGGGCTGAGCTGTGGAATCTCCCTGGACAATTATTTCCTGCATCCTCTGCTGCCACGCAGGGTTTGGTGTAAACACAGGGCTTGGGTTTAGCCCTGAGCTTGTCAGCTCAAAGGAGAGGGGGGAGGCGTGGGGATCGTGTGTGGGAAGGAGTTGGTTCATCTGCCAGAGGCACGGAGCGACACTTCAGAAAATGTGAGCAGCAGGAATCCCCTGGCTGGCCGGGCCTGGCACCGGCGAACAAAGAGAGGTGTGTCTGCAAGCACAGCTATTCCACCTGGAGACAAGCGGGAGAATGACTCCTGAGAATAACGTTCCAGAAGAGCCGATAAAACGATTTCGGCGGGGTCACGTTTCCCCCGTGGAAGGCAGGTCTGGTTTCATAAGACAATATCATCATTGACTCCGGCAGCGATGGGAACACGACCTGCTGGAAGGCGAAGAGCTGGGCAAGGATGAAGTGAAAAACCATTTCCCTGCCAAGCAGGAGCCGGAGCCTTGGGCTGGTGGTGCTGAGCATGGATAAAACCCACCTGAGCCTGGGCAGGGAGCTGGGCTCCCTCCACCTCTGCGGGCTGGAGCTGGACCTGTCAGCAGCAGAGCCAGCCTGGAGCAGGAAATCCTTTGGAACCCTCCTGGTTATGTATTTCTGTTAATGATTGGGGATCTCAAGTGGGGTTTTTGTGTTACCTTTGCCTCGCTGAGCTTTACTTCCCCGTGAAGGGAACAAGGGCTGAATTCCTTTCTCATTCAGGCAGCTCAGCTCCTGCTCTCTGCTGGCTGGGAGATGGGATCGGGTTTAGAAAACTCCAGAAGGAGTGGGTGAAACACCAGGAGGGACGGACAGAGCAGCAGGAGGGATGGAGAGAGCACCAGGAGGGATGGAGAGAGCACCAGGAGGGATGGAGAGAGCACCAGGAGAGATGGAGAGAGCAGCAGGAGGGATGGACAGAGCAGCAGGAGGGATGGAGAGAGCACCAGGAGAGATGGAGAGAGCAGCAGGAGGAATGGAGAGAGCAGCAGGAGGGATGGAGAGAACAGCAGGAGAGATGGACAGGGCACCAGGAGAGATGGACAGAGCAGCAGGAGGGATGGACAGAGCACCAGGAGGATGGACAGAGCACCAGGAAAGATGGACAGAGCAGCAGGAGAGATGGAGAGAGCACCAGGAGGGATGGAGAGAGCAGCAGGAGGGATGGAGAGAGCACCAGGAGAGATGGACAGAGCAGCAGGAGGGATGGACAGAGCAGCAGGAGGGATGAACAGAGCACCAGGAGGGATGGACAGAGGACCAGGAGGGATGGACAGAGGACCAGGAGGGATGGACAGAGGACCAGGAGGGACAGATCTGTCCCCTGTGCCAGCACAGAGGTGTCCCCAGGCCTGCACTGGCCGCTCTGGCCAAGGGAATGTGTGACTTTGGGGAGATCAGATGTGCCTGGGGCAGTCACGCTGTGCTGGCCAGATCTGTATCTCATGAACAGCTTCTCTGCTGCTTTTATCAGAGATCTCTCAGTGAATAAAACCAGGGATTTCTGGCCTGGAGAAGAAATTCTGCCTGGAATCAGCATCTGTGGCCCCCAGCTCCCCATTCTCACCTGCTGGGGAGGCTGAGGGTGCTTCCCCTCCTTCCCCTCCCCTCCCCTTTGGGCTGTACTGAGGTTCTAACATGGAGCAGGAAATTGGGGTGCTCAGCTGTCCCCACAGCTGTCCCCACAGCTGTCCCCACAGCTGTCCCCACCCCCCAGGCTCCCTGAGCCAGGTTTCTGCTCCCAGCAGCACCAGCCAGCTGTGGATGCAGGATGAGAGCTTGCCTGCCCTCAGACCTCAGGGGGGATTGTGCCCTGGAGCAGCAGTGGGGCAGCTCAGTGGGGTCTGTGGGGATGCTGGAGCTCCCCCCACGCTGCTCCCAGCCCCCCAAATTCGGCAGGGACAGAACCACGGGGCCCAGGAGGAGCTGGAGCTGTGGCTGTGAGTTACCCCAGCCACTGGGTATTTTTGGCACGCGTGGGGCCACGCTCCCTCCCGGGGCTCTGCCCCAAATCCCGGGCTGAGCCCGGGGGCGGCGGCGCCTCGGCTCCCTGAGCAATGCTGGCACGGAGGGATCTGTTTTGGGAGTGCAGGGGGAAGTGTCTGCCTGGATCTGGGGCAGGCTCCAGCCTCTCTGCTTCTCCCAGAGAGAGAAACACAAGAGCTGAACCCGGAGGTTTGATCCAGGGGGCTGCAGAGGGGTCAGAGGAGGATGTCCATCCCGTGTTTTGGGGTGGTGGGAGGAAGCCTCATCCCAGCCTGGAGATGCCCCTGGCTGAGCAGAGGAGAACTGCTGTCCCACAGTCCCTGGGCAGAGATCTCTGACCTGCTGCCCGTGTGGCCGTGGCCTCGTTTCATCCCCGCTGCCCTGAGGCTGTCCTGTGAACGGGGCACAGCCGGGAGTGGAAAACAGGGAATTTTTTCCCCCTGGATCCCCTCATCTCTTTAACAGCTCCCACAGCAGATGGGGCAGCAGACCCACAGAGTCAGTCCCTGCCCAGCTGAGCGTGCCCTGGGCACCCAACCAAGCTGGTGAGGAGCTGAACCGTCAATATTTCCATTACTGAGGAGACTGAAGTCCAAAGATTAATTCGGTGCTGATCACCTTGGGAGGTCAGGACAAAGCTGCTGGTTGATCTTTAATTTTTTTTCCTTTCTTTCTTGCACCACCTCCCCGGTTTTTGTGCCTTTCCCACAAAACCCTCCTTCCTATTTATCCCAGCCTTTGATGAATCACCTAAGGAACATAAACATTGCCAGCAGGAATTGCCCACCACTGCCTGCCTGGCTGACCCCTCCCTGCCCTGGCAGCATTTAATGTTCTAATTAAAAATCAGGAGGGAAAAGTGGCCTTGGGGAAGGGGCCGTGAAGGGAGGCGCTTGTCCGGGTGGCTCGGGCAGCTCTTGGAGCAGCAATTCCCGTGGCCAGCAATTCCCTGGCTGCTGGCAGAGCAGGGATTGGGGCCGGGAGAGGCCGAGGTGCTCCCGGAGAGGGACGGGAAGGTGCCGGCAGTGTGAGCAAAGTGCTCGTGTCTCGCCCCAGAGGCAGGAGTGGCCGTGGCGAGGGCGGCAGGGGCTGCCACCCACGCCAGGGCTGGCATGTGGCTGCTCGCCCTGACTTTGGGCACAGCGGCAGGACCCAGCCCCTGGCCTCGGGCGCTTTGGTAGTCCTGTCCTAACCTTGGGCGGGCTGCGTGAGGTCTCCCCGTCCCCAAAAAACCCCACCGAGGTGGGAGGGTTGTAGCGGCGGCTGCTGGAGATGAGCACGGCCAGAAGCGGTGGCGGCAGCGTGGCGAAATCCAGGGAGCTGCGAGCGCGGCTGGAGGCGAAATCCCCGGGTCGGGGATGTTTGGCTAGCGGGGCTTCTCCCTGTATCACCCCGGCATCCCATCCCCGGCGGAGGGATGGGTTTGGGAGGGTGCTTTGCGATCCTCTGGAGGCCAAATCCCCGGGTCGGGGATGTTTGGCCAGCGGGGCGTCTCCCTGAGCCCGTGTATCACCGCGGCATCCCATCCCCGGNTCGGGGATGTTTGGCCAGCGGGGCGTCTCCCTGAGCCCGTGTATCACCGCGGCATCCCATCCCCGGAGGAGGGATGGGTTTGGGAGGGTGCTTTGCGATCCTCTGGAGGTGAAATCCCCGGGTCGGGGATGTTTGGCCCGCGGGGCGTCTCCCTGTATCACCCCGGCATCCCATCCCGGGCGGAGGGATGGGTTTGGGAGGGTGCTGTGCGATCCGCCGGGCCATCCCGCCAGGCCCCTCCTCTCTCTCTGCCCGTACCATTGGCTCCGGCGCGGCCGCCTGCGAGCGCTGCGCTCCGCCGGGGCCGGGGCGATGGGGAGCGGCGGCTGAGAGCCGCGATCCGCCGGGGCCGCGCCGGAGCCCGCTCGCTTCGGCCATGTAGCACCGCGGTGCCCTCCACCCGGCCGCGGTGGAGGCGGCAGCGGCCTCATGGGCAACGCGCAGCGCAAGAGGAGCCCGGCGGGCACCAAGCCCGGCTCCTCGTGGCCCTTCGGCCGCGCCGGGAAGCCGAGGGCAGGTAGGAGCCGTGCGGCCGGCGGAGGATGGGGCGCGGGGATTCGGAAGGGGTCGAGCTGGGAAAAGTTGGCCGCTGGTGTTCTGCTGGGCTGGGCAGGAGCGGGGGGTGAGGGGAGGCTTCGCTCTGCCCTCCCTGTGCTCGGGGGGCAGGATCAGCCCGCTGCGGGGCTGGGGGAGCCCCCCTGGCTGCGGGCAGGGCTGCGCAGGAGCGCCGGGGAGCAGCCGTGGGCTGGGCGCGCTATCAGGACGGGATCAGCTGGATTAGTTACCGATTTGTTTTTCCAAGTGGGAGCCCAGCGCTGCCGCCTTCCTCCCCGGCCCCCCGCTCGCACCCCGTGCCTCGGTTTCTCTCGCTGCGCCGCGGGGAGAGGCGGATCTGGGAGTGTTCGCGGGGGCTGCTGCCCCGCCGCCCTCCCCTCTCCCTGCGCGGCTCCGTCCGTCCGTCCGTCCGTCCGTCTGTCCGCAGAGCGATTGCCCCGCTGCTTTGTGCTCCGTCCCCATGGGTGCCGCTGGAAAGCCCAGCGGGAAGCAGGGGTCGAGATGAGGGAAAGGGACGAGGAGCAGGGAAAGGGACGAGGAGCAGGGAAAGGGTCCCACGCGTGGAACAGTGAACCCCGTGGGGTGCCTGGTGAGCTCCGATGCCGGCAGGGAAAGTCTGGCAGGGAAAGTCTCTCGCAGTAGCATCGTCCCCATCGCGGGGTTGCTGACTCCCCCGCTGGTGTCATTAAAGTGTCCCTGTGTCCCCAGCCCGGCCTGAGGCAAGGAGGAGCCTTGGGAGGTGTCTGGGCAGGATCACAGGAGCGGGGTTAGCAGGACCAAGGGGTAACCGGGGGCGTTTTCCTTCCCTCAGCAGCTCTGGGGGATCCTTGGCCCTGCTGTCCCTCCTGCCCCGTTTCCCTTTACAGGCAGCAGCCCTCAGGGTAAATGGGGCCTGGAATCATCTCTGCACAGGCCCGGGGGCACCACTCAGAGCAAAACCATCCCAGAGGTGCTGCCTGGGATGGGGACACCTCGCAGGTGCCCAGGGAGAGGGGGCTGGAATGTCCTGGCTGAGAACATCCGCTCGGTGCTTGGGGAAACTGAGGCAGGAGGTCACACATCACCTCTGGCCATGCCGGGACAGCATCTCCTTCACTGCAGGCTCTCCACGGTGCTCCTCTCCTCACCTGGGTGGCTGCAGGCTCCTCTCTGCCTCTCTGCTCCTGCTCTCCCTGCAGGAAGGGCCCGGTGCCATTGGCCAGGCCGGGCACATCCTCACCTTCTCCACGTGCCACTCCTGCCCAGACCTCCGTCACCTCTCCATCCCCTGCCAGCCTTGCGTGTCCAGGACCGTGCCACCCTTCCCCAGGGCTGCCTGGGAAAGCCCTGCTCCATCTCAGCGCCCTGGCATGGGCGGGATGTGGGACCTGCAGGGATCCCGGGAGGCGAGGGCTGGCTCTGGGGCCGAAGGCCGTGGGGTGGAAGGTGCTGAGAAAACACGGGGCGAGTTGTGTTTGTTCTCTGCGACGCCTCCATGGCAACGGCGCGGCGGCCACAAAGCCAAAGAATTTGCATTGTGTCGCTTCAGCGTTTCGGAGGGCGCAGCCCGGCTCGCCGGCTGGGGGCAGGGTGTGCCGGCACCCTGCGGGCGGCCGTGTCCCCCCTGCGAGACCCCGGCTGCCTCGGATTTTGGGCTGGAGAACAATTGCGAGCGGCTGGAGCAGTGTCCCCGGTTCCTGCCTCTCCGCTGACTGGAGGATTCGTTTGGCCCTGCCGTGCCCGGTGTTGGCGCATCAGGCCCGGGCAGGATGGTTTTGTGCTTGTGCCGTGCGTGCAGAGGTGTGGGCACCGCCTTTGGGTGCTGAGGGGACAGAGCAGGGGTCCCCAGGGTGGGCACAGCCGAGGGCTCCGGGGTGGCTCTGCCGCTGAGCGCACCCACTCTGCCCACCCGTGCCAAAGCCACGCACCCCGTGCCCACTTCCCCGTGCCAGAGCGGGGCCTGGCTTGCTCCGGGAGCATCCCCAGCCTCTCGCCCATACCGAGGAAGGTCCTTGAGCCCCAGGGAGAGCGAAGCCTCTTATCGCCTCCTTATCGGGACTCCCCGCCGGGCGCTGCTGAGTCAGGGCGCAGGAACGCGGCTGCGGGCCGGGCTGCGCCCCGCGGAGCTCTGCGTGCGGGGTCACCCGGCAGCCGCGAACCCTCGCTGGCCCCTGGAGCGGCCCGCAGGGAAAATAATCATGGAATGGTTTGATTTGGAAAGAACTTTGAAGCTCATCGCGTTCCAGTCCATGGGCAGGGACGTTTCCACTATCCCAGGCTGCCCCAACCTGGCGTGGGACACTTCCAGGGACGGGGGATCCCAATGCCTCGGGGTGACTGTGGCTGGGAACGTCCCCAGCAGCAGCAGCAGCAGCCATGGAGCCCCTCGGCAGTCCCGGCTCCTGCAGGGCAGCTCCGCTGTGGGCTGAGCAGCTCTGAGCTCTGTCCTTTGCAGCCTCTCTCCGTGCCAGACCCACGCTGGGCCGGCTCCGCAAACACCCGTGGGGGGCGGATGAGAGCGGGGCCCGGTCCCGGCGGGGGACACGCCGAGATTTACACAGGAGCTTCCTCCAGGCACCGCCTGCCAGCATCCTGCTGCGTCCGGGACATCCGAGCCTTGCCGGTGCCCCCGTCCCGCTCCCGGAGCAGGGGAGGAGGCGCTCGGCGCTGGCCCTGGCAGGCAGCAGCCGCAGCTCCCGGTCTGACATGCCGTGCCGTGCCGGCTTGGCACGCTCCCGGCACCGAGAGGCAGGGACGGGACCTGCCCTGTGCCTCTGGGCTATCCCCCACCCCATCCTGGTGGCAGCGACTCTCCCTGATGCCACACGGCCGTGTCCATCTCCGTGGGAGGATCGGCACCTCCGCAGCGTTTCCTTGGAAAAGCCCCGCGGGGCGGGAGCGGGGCTGGGCGCTGCTTGCAAGGACGGGCAGGGGAGGGGGGATCCGTGCACGGATAGAACCTGCAACGTCTTGTCCTTAATCCGTCTGCCCGGTTTGCTCCAGCGTGGTGCCAGGTGCCTGCTGTGACAGGCAACGCCCCTGCCGTGCCAGGAGCGCCCGGGTGCCCTGCAAAGCACCCGGGTGTGACGGCACCGGCCCGGGGACAGCCAGCCCCGAGCCCCGTGCGAGCGGGACACACCGAGGGAAGGGCACCAGGGAGTGACAAAGCTCTGGAGAATAGGAGGAGGTGGTGGTGGCTCACCCCTGGTCACAGTGCCACCCGTGTCACCCTCTGCAGCCCTGTGTCACTTCCAAGGGTACCAGAGAGTGACAAAGTTCTGGAGAATAGGAGGAGGAGGTGGTGGTAGCCCACCCCTGGTCACAGTGCCACCCCACTTCCAATGGCACCAGGGAGTGACAAAGCTCTGGAGAATAGGAGGAGGAGGTGGTGGCTCACCCCTGGTCACAGTGCCACCCGTGTCACCCTCTGTGGCCCCGTGTTGCTTCCAAGGGCACCAGGGAGTGACAAAGTTCTGGAGAATGGAAGGAGGAGGTTGTGGTAGCCCACCCCTGGTGACAGTGCCACCCCACTTTCAAGGGCACCAGGGAGTGACAAAGCTCTGGAGAATGGAAGGAGGAGGTGGTGGTGGCCCACCCTTGGTGACAGTGCCACCCGTGTCACCCTCTCTGGCCCTGTGCCGCTTTCTCTGTCCCGCCCTGCGCTCCCCAGCTGGGATGTTCCCGCCCGGATCCGGCTCCTGGCTCCTGGCTCGGGGCTCCTGGCTGGGGGAGGTTGTTATTTACCTTCAAACCTGTTCGGTGGCTTCTCCGGGAGGGGTGGGGACGGAGGCGGTGGGATGGAGGCTCGCTGGGCTGCTGCAGGGGCCGGGAATGAGGCACAGCCGGGCACTGGGGTGGTCCTGCCCCGGGACCCCTCTGGTCTGCTGCCAGCCCCTCGCCCGGATTTGGGATAACTCGGGGAGCAGGAGACACTCCGTGTCACCTCGGGGCTGGCTGCGGGGCAAGTGTGGCACAGCGGCGAGGTCGGGGCCCGTTGCACAACCCTGAGTGCTCCTGTCATGACAGCAGCCATGGCTGGAGGCGATGCAGCCACGGCTCTGCTCCGAGTGGGATTTCACCCTGCACCAGCTCCTTCTCACCGAGGTGACACCAGGCAGCTTTCTGCGCTGTGATTTAGGGGAAGAGAAAAAAAAAAAAAAACACATCCAAGTTTGTTTTCCCGGTTGAAATTAATTTTAGTTCAGCCTCTGCGTGGGATCGTGTTCGAGAGCCGAGCCAGCAGCGTGGATGGTGTTTGTTTTCTTGGTGGAGATGTTTTTCTGGCTGGAGCAGCCCCCCGGGTGTGGCCGAGGGCAGGCTGGCAGCAGGGGCTGTGTGGCCAGAGCCACTGTCAATATTATTGTGCTCTTCCCCTGCCCGGAGTGCTCAGGGTCCCCTGGCGTGTCCCAGGGCGTGGATCCTGTGCCGAGACAAGGATTTGGGGAGCAGGTTGGTTGTCTTTAGGGGCTCCCAGACACCCTAAAGAGTTGAAGGTTGCAAAAGCAGCAGAGGGACAGGATGCTGGAGACGAAGGGCTGGATAAGGTCCCTTCCAAACCAGAATATTCGGTGATACTGGGGCACAGCTCTGTCAGGGTCCATCCATGTCCTGACAGCTCCATGCTGCTCCCAGGAATGGGGTTCATGGTGCACCCCACTGGTGTTTTCCATGCCCGTGGTGGCAGCTGGCAAGCAGAGCTGTCCCCAGGCCTGGATGGTGCTGGGAGGGACCCCCAGAGTGGTGGGAGAGCACCAACCCCGTGGGGCAGGGGGGCTTCTTCCTGCTGAGAGTGGGGTCCCTGGGGACCTCGCAGCCCCCTCCCGCCCCCCTGGGGCTCCCCCTGCTCCCCATTTTTCGGCGGTGACTCAGTGGCGGGCAGGGAGCTGCAGGACCCGCGCCTGGAGCAGGCAAGTCGGGGCAGTGCCGAGCAGGCAGGGATGGATGCTTGCAGCCGAGCCCGGCCAAACCTGCTGCTCGCAGGAGGCACAGGCCTGGCCAGGAGGGGGACAGGAGCTGGGATTTTCTCCCCTGGATGGGATTTTCTCTCCAGGTGAAGAGCGGCAGAGCGAGAGCTGGGCCAGCAGCGAGTTCTGTTTGCAGCACCGGGCTGGGCGGCCCTGGCCGTGCTCCTGTGGGGGCTCAGCCCTTGTGGAACCCTTCCCATTCCTGCTCTGGTACCTCCAGCCCCTCTGGCAGAGCTGAAGGCAGGGTTCCCGGGGTTCCCTGTCCCTTGCTGTGCCTCGCTCCAGGGATGCTGTGCTCCCTCCGGACCATCCCTGGCACTGGCAGCAGCGGTACCAGCTCCGAGCCCATCCTTGAGAGGGTGCCTGTCTCCTTATCTGCGAGAATCCCGCTGCCACGTGTGGCCGAGGCACGTTTGTCAGCTGAGCCCGGAGGGCTCGGGGCGATCCGGGATGCACCGCAAGGAATGCACGGGGGCCGGGACACCGGCTCCAAGCGGGCGTGTTGCTACCGGCAGCGGCTGCAGCTGCGGCGGCTTCCCCAGCCCAGCGGGACCTGCAGCCTCTGCTGCAGCATCGGGGCTCTCCCCCTCCTGGATTCCCCCCCTGCTTATAGCAGAATTCACCCCGTGCTGACAGAGCCGGGGTGAGGCCGGCTGGGTGAGGATGAGGAGGTAGCGAAGGTCACAGGGAGTGGAAGGAGTGGAGGTAGCGTCGTGCCCTGGCTCAGCCCTGGATTTTCTTTTGGGAGGTTGCAGCTCCTCCTCAGCGGTGTCACAGCGGAGAGGGACACGTCTCCATCAGTGTGGGATGTTCTCCAGCTCCTCTGTGTGGGCAACGGGCCACAGGCAGGAAGGTGGAGCGGGGCCAGGCTGTCTGCCAGCACCCGGGAATGTCCCCAGCCCTGGCAGCAGCTCCCACCCGTGCTGCCACCGGCAGAGCTGCGGGGCCCAAGCTGAGCTCTGCTGGGCCCTGCACCAGCAGCACAGGAGGGGCTGTCTCCCTTTTCTGGGGGGCTCCTGGTGCAGTCCCATCTCTGTGGGCAGAACTGGAAGGCTGGAGCCTTCCCTGTGGAGCTGGGAGCAGTGTCCCTGCCGGCTGCCACTGCCCGTGGCCCTTTCTGGGCTCATGACTGCCCAGAGCAGAGGGCAGTGCTCAGCTCGGCACGTGGCTGCCTGCTTCGTGCATCCTCAGCCCTTTAATTATGTCCCTTTTCCGCTGGGGAACATCTGCCCACCACCACCAGCACCTTCTGGGGGGGCGTGTGGGCAGCAGGGCCCATCCTGCCCGTGCTGGAGCAGGGGCTGGCTCAGACACAGCCAGGGAGCTGCTGGTGTTTGGGGCCATGGCCATGCTGGAATTCCAGGCAAGAAATCCTCGCTGAGCCTGGAGCTGCCTGGCTGGGCACACAGAGATGCCCTTCACAAGGTCAAACTGTCCCTTGGGCTGCTGTCACCGCCTGGGGCCTGCTGGGACCCTGCTCTGGGTTGAGCCCACGCTGCACCGTGCCAGAACAAACCCTGGGCACAGCCCGTGGGGAGCTGCAGGGCAGGGGCAGAGGGTTTGGCACAAGGACACGGCTGCCTGCTGGGTAAACGCTGGGTGCTGTTCACATTTTGGGGTAAAACACCTGTAAATGGGGGGGATGGAGCTCCTGGAGGCGCTGGGCACCCACTGCCCTGGCAGTAGCTCCATGGTGGGGACAGTGACCGGCAGTGCCAGGGCAGTGCCACGGTGTGACCGCCTGGCATTTCTGCCCCTGCTTTCACCTGCCTCCGCAGCAGCAGCTGGAGTTACTGGTTAGACTGGTCCCAGACCTGGTTTTCCCCGCTGCTGCCAGCCCTTGTGACCGTGACGTAGCCCTGTCCTGAAGGACAAACACCCTTTGCCCCGTCCTGGCTCGCCTTGGGGCTGTCCTGGCAGGGTCCTGGAGGGGCACTGGGGACAGGCTGGCACGGGGAACGTGACCCTGTGCTGTGCCACAGCCCAGCTGCAAAAGCCTCCCAGTTCCTCCCAGTTCCTCCCAGTTCCTTCCAGTTGGCTGCACTGTTGTGGAAGCTGGTTTGCAGCGCCGCTGTGCCCAGCAGGGTCCTGGGGAGTTCCAGGGGTCTGAGAGGGAGGAGCAGGGGAAATGCTGACCCCGAGCCTGGAAGGACAGATCCCTGTGGTCTGTGAAGAACAGATCCCTGTGTCCTGGAAGAACAGATCCCTGTGTCTGTGAAGAACAGATTCCTGTGGTCTGTGAAGGACAGATCCCTGTGGTCTGGAATAACAGGTCCCTGTGGCCTGGAAGAACAGATCCCTGTAGCCTGGAAGAACAGATCCCTGTGGTCCATGAAGAACAGATCCCTGTGTCTGTGAAGAACAGATCCCTGTGGCCTGGAAGAACAGATCCCTGTGGTCTGTGCCGTGCGTGGGAGGAGGCAGGAGGGCCGGGGGGAGCGAGCCGGGGGCCAGAGGAGGAGCCCCCTCTTTCCTTCTCCCGCGGCCGAGGAGCGCGGTGGGCACAGCTGGCACTGTCCCCTCCTGCCCAGGACTGTCCCCTCCTGCCTTGCACTGTCCCCTCATGCCTAGGACTGTCCCCTCCTGCCCGGCACTGTCCCCTCCTGCCTAGGACTGTCCCCTCCTGCCCAGCACTGTCCCCTCCTGCCCGGCACTGTCCCCTCCTGCCTAGGACTGTCCCCTCCTGCCCGGCACTGTCCCCTCATGCCTGGCACTGTCCCCTCATGCCTAGGACTGTCCCCTCCTGCCCGGCACTGTCCCCTCATGCCTAGGACTGTCCCCTCCTGCCTGGCACTGTCCCCTCCTGTCCAGGACTGTCCCCTCCTGCCTTGCACTGACCCCTCCTGTCCAGGACTGTCCCCTCCTGCCCGGCACTGTCCCCTCCTGCCTAGGACTGTCCCCTCCTGCCCGGCACTGTCCCCTCCTGCCTGGCACTGTCCCCTCCTGTCCAGGACTGTCCCCTCCTGCCTTGCACTGACCCCTCCTGCCCAGGACTGTCCCCTCCTCCCCGGCACTGTCCCCTCCTGCCCGGGACTGTCCCCTCCTCCCCGGCACTGTCCCCTCCTGCCCGGGACTGTCCCCTCCTGCCCAGGACTGTCCCCTCCTGCCTGGCACTATCCCCTCCTGCCCGGCACTGTCCCCTCCTGCCCGGCACTGTCCCCTCCTGCCACCGCGCAGCCGTGCCCGGCTCAGGCTGCTCCCTGCTCTCGAGCAGCTGCGCCGGAGCGTCTTCGCCCGGCCGAGCATCCTCCCGCCCGTGCGGATGAGGACGGAGGGAGGGAGCTGGGGGCCGCCGGCATCCGCCCCGCCGGCACACAGCGGCTGAGAGCAGCCTCGGCACTACAGGCCGAACCTCCTCGGGGGGCGGCGGACCCCCCTTCCCTGGGGACCAGACCCTCTCCCCGGCCACCATGGTGGTTTTCATGGGCAGGAACCTCTCCTCGCTTCTGGCCTTCTTCAAGAAGAAGGGTGAGTGAGCAGCGGGCAGGGAGGGAGCAGAGCTTTGTCCTTACACAACCCCTGCCCGCCGGGACCCCCCGGCCCGGCCCGGGGTGCTCGCCCACCCGCAGGGGGCAGGGGGGCTGCCAGCCCCGGGGGAGGGCAGGGAAGGTCACCCCAGCCCTCCCGAAGTTACCGGAATAAATCACTGCGCTCCTCTCCCCGCAAGGCAGCTCCGACAGCGTTCGGGGTTTGGGGGGGTGTCGTGCGAGGGGCTGCCGAAATTCGGGGGGGGGGAAACGGGGATTGGGAACATGATGATGGTGGGGAGGGGCTGTGGGTGTTCTGTGCTCCCCGCAGGGATTTTGCAGCGGCACGGGGGATCCGTGCGGCACAGCCCCGTGCCGGGCGGGCCGTGCCCCGGTGCCCGCGCACAGCCCGGGGCTGGCGGAGGCAGCGGCCGGCATGGCGGCGGGGCGGGAGGCTCCATTGTTCCAGGCCTGCTCCTTTGTGTGCTGGAGATGGAGCACGGCAGCCTCGCCACCTGCCTGGGCTGGCCCTGGGGGCAGCGGGGACACGGGGAGCACAGGGGACAAGGGATGCTGTGCGCTGCTGGCCGTGCCGAGCAGCAGGTGCCCCTGCCCCGGGGTGCCGCCGCCAGCCCCGAGGGTTTCCTGCGCTCGCCCTTCCCTTCCTCAAAATTTTGTTTTTTTTTTCTGGGCAGGAAGGGTTTGAGGCTTCGCTCAGGCGTGTGGTAGGAGCAGGCAGGGCTGTGCCACGGTGCTGCAGTGCCAGGGCTGGGTGATGCCAGGGTGGCCGTGGGCACTGCAGGGTGCTGGTGGTGGCTGTGGGGAGGGGGTGCCAGGCAGGGCGTGGAGGCTCCGTGCTGCTCCGGGCGTGGCAGATGGGGTGTTCAGCATCCAGCGGGGTTCGCAGCAGGGATTTGGGTCCTCTGGGATCTCTGCTGCTGGGTGTGCCTCAGTTTCCCTCTTCCGTGCGGTTGCCAGCCTGCCTGGGCACGGGGGGAGTCCCTGTTTTGGGGTGATGAGCAAGGTGTGGGAATGACGCAATGCTCCAGAGGGAAAATCATCCTCGATCCATCCACGTTTAATCCCCTCCTGTGCTGCCCCTGCCCTGCTCAGCTGCCCCCAGCCCCACACAATTCACCTCCTCGTTAGCTCCTAACGAGGGCGCTGGGGAAGGAGGGGGATTTCTCCCCCATCCCAGGGAGAAACCCAGCGGAGACATCCTGACTCCGGAATATCGACCGGCCGGGCAGAGCCTTGCAGGATGGGATTTCTCTCGGCCTTTCCAGCGCCTGGTTCGGAGCTGAGCGGGACAACGTCACCCCGGGGTGGCTGTCACCACCCGGGGCTCGTGTCCCCCCAGCCCAGCTGAGCCCTCTGTCCCCGCAGGCGCTGCCAAGGGCGAGGGCGAGAAGCGGCTGAGCGTGCAGTACACGGCGGGCGAGGAATGTCCCGACAACGTCTTCTTCCCCAGCACGCGGCCCCCGCACCTGGAGGAGCTGCACAGCCAGGCCCAGCAGGGGCTGAAGTCCTTGCAGCACCAGGGTAGGTGTCCCCAACCCCGGGGTGGCCTTGGGGACACGGTGGAAGGGCTGTCCCCCCAGCTCCTGGCTGGCTGGGCAATGTGGGCGGTGCACGGGGCTGAGCAGAGTCCAGTGCTGGGGGCTGGGTTGTGCAGGGGGCACTGCCAGCTGGGCAGCTGCTTCCTCCGGATCCCCTGGAGGGATTTATCTTCTGTCTTCCCTCTGCAGAGAAGCAGAAACAGACCAAAAGTGCCTGGGACCACGGGGACACCAGCAGCCTCCAGGTGAGCCCTGCCAAGTGGTGCTCCTGGGGGTGAGGGCACACCGGGTGGCTCTTCTGTCCTCTCTGGGTGGTGTTTGGGGGCAGACAGACAACCAGCCAAGGTGGCAGGACCATGTCCAGGGGGGTTGCGGGGCTGGAACTGGCCGTGTGTCCCTTGGTGTTGTCCCCTGTGCCCCATGCTGAGCTCTTTTCCCCATCCTCAGCCTTGGCACAGCCTGCTCTGCCCTGTGGAGCTCTGCTGGGGTTCCCCCTGTGCTGCATCCCCCTGTCCCTTCCCCACTGTGAGCCCTGACTGAGGAGGGGTGATGTGGTGGCATATGGGGACTCCTGGCCATATCCAGCCCGGTGCCTGTGCCCCTCCCTGGCTGCCAACGAGGAGAAACTTCCCTTCTTTTGGCCAGGCTGAGCTTTGGCAATCCCTGGGCTCTGACCCCGCTGTCAGAGCCTCACCCGCCTGCGTTTGCTCAAGCTGCTGCTCTCGTTGGCTCTCAGCCCCTTTAACCCTTTGGAAGTGGGGGACTGGGAACCCCAGGATGGGCAGAGCCATGGGGGCAGCGAGGTCAGGTTCACTCTGAGGTGTCTCATCCCAAGCTCTGCCTGTGCCAGGGGGGCTTTGGACACAATCCGTGTCCAGGGAGTGCTGGGGATCCTGTCCCTGTCCCACGCCCCTCTCCCAGCCATGGCAGCTCTCCAGCCCCGGCCTCTGGGGCACAGCCGGGCTGGCAACATCCACGGAATCATTTTGGGTTTGGCATGGGGGCGAGCCTGGCAGCTCCTTGGGGTTGCTCCTTGCACGCCCCAGCCCCTTCTCTCCTGCCCTCCGGGGGGCTGCGGAGCCACGCAGGGTCCCAGGGGCTGCTCCCAGCCCTGCTCCTGGTGGGAGGACTCTGGATGCCGGCGTGGCTGACTCAGCCTTTGGCCCTCGGAAGAGCTTTTGTCTGGGCTGCAGAGTCAGATCGCGGCGGGGAAGGGGCCGGGGCAGTTCTTGTCCTGCAGCCCCCGGCTCTGCTGAGCCCCCCTGTGTCCCCGCAGTCCTGTGCATCCTCGGAGGATGACAGCCTGTCCTTCCGGACCCAGGCAGCCTCCAGTGCCACGGACAGCACCTCTGAGGATGCCCTCTCCATCCGCTCCGAGATGATCCAGCGCAAAGGTACCCGGCTGGGGCTGGGGCTCGCCAGGGGGGTTGGGAGTGTGGCAGGGAGCTGGGCTCTGCCTCGGTGTGGCCACGAGCCTGCACAGGGATTTGGGGGCCCTTGGGAGAGAGGAGAGCAGCTCTGGCTGAGTCAGAGGGAGTATTTGGGCTGGGTTAGGCAGGCAGACAGGCAGACAGCATCTCCTCCCTGCTCAGACTGTTCTGTTGGTGCCTCTCTGGGCTGTTCCAGTGCCTGAGCCTGGCTTATCCCAGGGCACCCCTGGCAGTGGGAAGTGCTGGGGACACTGGGGACACCCAGGCCAGGGTGTCCTGCTAGACCCCCTCACATCTCTTGTAGGTTCCACCTTCCGACCACACGACTCCTTTCCCAAATCCTCAGAGAGGGCTGGCAAGAAGAGGAAGGAGAGGAGGACAACAGTGCTGGGCATCCCCCAGCACGTCCATAAGGAGCTGGGTGAGCTTTGGGGGGCAAGGGGGCGATTTTTAGGATCTGTTTGCCTTGCCTTGGGATCACGCTGAGCTCACCTCTCCCTGCTCCCAGGTCTCAGGAACAGTCATGGAGCCAAGGGTCATCCCGAGGTGGCCGGGCGAGGGCCGGTGGGCCACGGGGACGGCCCGGCAGGGCAGCCCCTGCTGAACGGGGGGCAGGTGTCCGGCGACGCCGTCCGCATCCCCACCATCGACGGGAAGCTGCAGCCTCTGCCCGGGGCCGGCGGCGCCCGCGTCTGCCTGGGAGTGCTGGAGGAGGCGGATGCAGCCCTGCAGAAGCACATCAACAGGGTTTACTACGACGACAGCTTGGTGGGGAGGAAGACAGCGGCCAAGCTGTCGCCCATGGTCAGGCCGAAGTCGCTGGCCGTGCCGGGCATGACCACCTACGCCAACCCCCCGGAGATTCTGGTCGGCCCCGTCATGTCCATCTCGCCCCAGGGCACCTACATGTCCAAGATCATCCCCAACGCCATCCTGCCGCCCATGGTGGACGTGGTGGCCCTGACGAGCAGCAGCGTGCGGACGCTGAGCCGCTGCAGCCT